CATTTGCCGCCGCCTATGTACACTGAAACTAAAAACACAGTTGCTAGTTCGTAGAACCACAACGGTCAGATTGAAGAGGAGAGAAGGCGAGAAACAGAAAAACAGAAACAAAAACACAAGCAAACGATACATTGATCTAAGTAGGGGAGACTAAAACACTGATGCATAGCAATTTCTAATTGTTGGTTAGACAGTTGTATACGAATCACGCATATAAATACAGTTGAATCAGTTTGGCATGCCGACGCCCTGCTGAAAGCCGAGCGTATCCTGCTGCTTCTTGATCTCCTCTTGCATCTCCAGGGCTAGCTTCTTGTACTTCTCGGCTTCTTTCTCGTTTTTCTCGATGCCGTCGCCGCGGGCGTACATCTGGCTTAGGTTGGCACACGCATACACGTTGCGCAACTCGCACGCCTTGAAGGCAAACTGAAATGCTTTTTTCATGTCTTTGAGCACAATGTAGTCCGAGTCCTTGAGCGTTTTGGCTGGCGTGGGTCCACTGCTGGCAGGCACGGCACCTGGCTCTGTCCTCGTTTGAACGCCAGAGATGTGCATACCGGATAAATAGAAGCAGGCGTTTGCATTGTTCATGTCGCAGCTCTTTGTGAGGAGTTCCAAGCCCTGCATAAGTAGTAAGCGTTGGTCAGACATCACCTGCAAAACGCACTCAACTCACCTTCGGCACATTTCTGTCGATCTCTTTGGGCATGGAGCGCGAGACAAGCAAGAGGCCGGAGTGAAGGCAGGCATCCGAATCGTTTAAGTTGCACCCCTTCTCGTAGTACTGGTACGCCACCCGAGGTTCACCCTTGCTGCCGCTTTTACCCTTGCCCAAAATGCTATAGTTGCCAAACTTATAGCAGGACTTTGCGTAACCATAATCGTCACATGTCGATTTGTATACCTTTGACGCCTTCTCAAAGTCCTTCTTGATGCCCTCGAGATAGTCACCCAGCAGATGGCAAGCTGCGATTAAAATGTACGCAAATACATATACATAAGTCTTAGATAAGGTCACGGATTTGTTTTGTAATTAAAATAGTTGAACCCAGTGACATAGGTTATAGCAGAGGTGTTGTTGCTGTTTTTACGTGTTTACCTTCCGGTTTCCTCTCCGAATAACAGCCAAATCGATATTCTACGCCAAGCTTGTCGATGTACTCCTTAACATCCGACTCCTTTTTTAAGTCGTATGCCATTTTTTTAGTTTTTAATTAATAAAAACCAAAATTATGTTATGTTGTTCTTGTTAGTTTCGGCTTTTCGTGACAGTGCTGGAAAACACAGCTGATGTTCTTTACTTGCATTGCGCGACATATCGATATTTGGGGCCAAAATTTAATTAGCAAATGTCAACCGATATAGTTGTTTTAATACCATCGTTCCGTATTATTGGATGGTCTGAAAGCTTTTGCTATCCGAAATGTGTTCCTTATTAATTCTGCGATCCACCTGAGATGCTCTCGTCTGCTGGTTTTTATCCGTTTTCCATCCGATATCTCTCAAATGCAGCCCTAAATAAATGACATTCACAGCTGTTTAGATCTGTCTTTTTGTCGCCCTGGTATATCGTTCCCGGGCAGCTCTTGCGGAAATCAGGGGTACTTTCGACCCGATATCCAGGGGACGGATTTAAGGCTGGTATCCAGCAGATATATCACCCGCAAATTATGCCTAACACAGGCATACGAATCAGCTGTGTTTTGTTAACATGTGAACTGCAGTGGCAGTTTGAAATATGTATGTATATACCCTCCCAATCACTGGAATAGACTAACAAGTTTTTAATATGAAAAACAAGTATAAACTTCCAGCTACGAATGATAAGGGAAAAAATGAATTGATCTTTTAATCAAGTCTCCCCATTTAAAAAGTAAAGACTTAGACTTCTAAGCTAAAAAGTTTTTTTTTATGAATTTTGTGTAAATACCCCAAATATAAGGTCAGGTTTAGCGATCACTTGAATATACTCAATAATGAATATTGGACAAAATCTTTCAAAAGCTTTCTAATACTTTCCAAATGCGATCCCTGTACAATTCTAATCAGGAGAGAAAAAAAACTTCAAAACTAGATGAAAATGTTAGTCTTTAATCCACTTCTTTATCAATTTACCGTTATATTTCGGGGGCCTATCCTGGTAAAACCAGCCGTTCCATGTGAAAAAAATATTGCAGAATCTCAGCAAAGGACTTTTAGAGTAGTTTTCCTACTGATTCACTCATCTTCGACGAAAAAAATCGGGTGTAAATCGGGAGATGGTACCAAACACCATTATGGTCCCCTCAGGACTATTGTAACGAGTCGAGTCGAGAATTCTCTTCCTTTCTTAGATTATGAAAAAATAATTAAATCGATATTTTCTTTTAAAATTACAAATTTTTAATAAAAACAAAGAGAAGGGACGTGTGAGACGCTTCTTACGCGTCACAATTTTTATACCCGGCACTCAGTACTACATCTGCACCTTAGCGGTGTTTTGTCAAATTTTACATATTTTCTTCATCTGTCATATACATCTACAAAACTTTCACACCAACCCGCTCCTTTAGCTCGCCCTCTTCTCAGACCCACACACTGCAGACTCGCGGCAGAGGCAGAGGCAGCTCCCGCACACAAAAAAAAAAACATAAGCTTCGGGACGGGGTGGGTTAAAAGTCAACAGAGGCAGAGTCAGAGGGACGGCAGAGGCAGAGGCCGAGTGAAGCAGAAGCAGAGTGTGAATGAGAGAATGTGAAAAGAACAACAAAAGCTGCGGGACAGGATGGGTTTAGCCACTGCTAATTAATTTGTTCATTATGGCTATAATAATGACCCAATCGGATCCCAATTTGGTGATCTGATAGATATGGCCATTCCCTACGGAATGGCGTTTTTAAACCCGGTACTCGAAGAGTAAATAGTTTTTTTTTGTGTTTGTGCACAAAGTGATTGTATGTAACACACAGAAGGAAACGTTTCCGACCCCAAAAAGGATATATATTTTTGATCAGCATCAATAGCCGAGTCGATTAAGCCATGTCTGTCTGTCCTTCCATCGACCGACCGTCCGTCTTGTGTACACCGTCATAATATGTACTTGTGCTTACAGTATATAGATGCCTGTAGCATGGTACAATTACTAATAGGTAACGTCGTCAGCTGAGTGGAGGAGCACCAGCTTATTCTCCACGCTCTCTCAGCTCTCAGAGAGTCAAGCGCTAGAGAGAGATAGCAAACGTTTTACGTTCAGCACTCTTCGCTTTTATAGTTTCTGCTGACAGCAAAGTAAACATATGGAGCGGCATAGCAAAAAATAATTTGGCAGACATGTTTGTTTCTAAAAAAGATAGTATTGAATAAAGATTCAATTACATACACATTAATTACATTACACATCAAAAATTAAAAAGTAGTTGCATGCATATTTCATTGTCTTCCGCTTACGTCTTAATTCGTAAACAATGAAGAAAAGGAAAAAGAAGACAATGAAAAAATCGTGCGATTCACAACCTCTTTCGTCGACGTTTGGCAAACGACTGACAAGCAGGTATTCCTCGAATGAGAAGGCACTGTGGTGACAACGTCACCTATTAGTAATTTCACCATGGCCTGTAGTATCATGTAAAAGGTGGGAGCGCGCCCAATTGCAGGGTGTAAATGTATTGATGGGGATATATGCATGTGTGATGGAAAGCCCAAAAACGCGGGCGAATATTCAGAGAAAGACAAAAACTGTCCAATTGCGGCTATTGATGCTGATCCAGAATATATATATACAGTATATACATATATATAGTACATACATATATATATAAGATATATTTATATATATATTATTGATCTATTACTATTACTACTACAATATATATATGTATATATATATATATACAATAAAAATAGGTACGCGGTGGGTCTATGCAGATTTTAGTGACATGCTTGGGCATCAAATTTTGAAGTCAATTGTCCAAATCTCGATTTGCCGATAGGAGTCGGAGAAAAATGTGCAATTGTTAATGTGTGAGTACATGTGCAAGGCAGCCGCCTTGCCAGCAAACTTGTCTCTTATGTCCAGTTCCGTCAAAACTCCCTGTTTGTTCACACCGTGACTCTAATGGAAAATATTTGCAACGCAAAGTCAATTGCCGTAATTCATTATTTTTATACATATTCAGATGTTTATATCCGTTACCCCTTTCATCCTAAATTATTTAAAGCATATAAAGGTCACACAAAAAAAATGTATTTTGATATTGAGGGGCAAGCTTCTTCATAAAGCCTTGAGGGTATTTATTTAAATGGTATGTGAGATCAGAATCAACAAACAAAAATGCAAAAGGTTTCAAGCACTAACAATTAAAGCGCACGTGAAGTCGAGAACACAACCGACGACGAGAACAGAAATTGGAAAGGGCTTATATGTATGTACAGTATATATAGTGTATATATATATATATATATATGTGTGCATATATACATATATATGTTTTTATATTTATCTGAAAAGATGGATTTGGTAACAATGTTGATATCACGGCAGCAACGAAGTCGCGAAGCGACGGCATACAATTTTGAATAAAGCAGTAAAGAATCAGCATTTAAAATAATTACAGCATTCAAATACAATAACAACTTTTATTGGTATATTTATTTTTTCCAACCCCCAAGGGTCCGGCCACCAACCCTCACCCCTCATTCTGCACATCTTGCGGCAGGTCAGGTCCATACGCCAACCCCCGAAAACAAAATCAAATCATCAAAACGAATTTTCGTTCCATCACAGTTCAGAAAGAAACATACATTACTTGCAGTGTCCTGTGAATCAACAAAAAACCGGTTTGGAGCGCTAAAAATCATTGGTTACACGCACTTATACAAATGTAGCTGGGGCTTCTAGCTGCGTGCTCTACACGCACTTATGCACATGTAGCTGGGGCTTTTAGCTGCGTGTTCTACACGCACTAATACTTGTAGTTGGGACTTTGGCAGAGGCCTGGGACTTGGAGACGCACATTGAGCGGTGACGTTTCGCTTATAGAAGTTGAGAGTCTACTATACTATTTGGTTAGTGACAGTGTCCCTGTCAACAATAAGCCCTTGTAAGACTAGTGTGTGGTGGCGGGTATAGAAAGTAATAGCTGGTGCTAGCTAGTGGCCGAGCCAGTCTTGCGAAAGTCAAACAGTTTAGGTATTACATCGCCACATTTGGCCGAAATTTTGATATCGGCCAAGTGGTCGGCCCGCGTGTCTCCAATGTTTACAATCGCCACCGGCAACTTAAGGTCCTTGGTTTGCAGTACCATGCGGTAGCCGGAAAACACCAGCAGACTGGAGCCAAGCACCAACAGTCCGTCGCTATTGTATACCATTTCAGCGATCTTATCGAGGCGCTGCTTGGGCACGCAGTCCCCAAAGAAGACAATGTCCGGCTTGAGGTCGCCACAGCACTTCGGGCAGTCAGGTATTTTAAAGTTTTCTATGTAATCGAGGGGAATCTCCACATCACCATCTGGGCGGACCATTTCCAGCACATTGCCAATGGTTGAATTCAGGGAGGCCAGTGTATTCTGAAACTCGTGACGATCAGTGGTATAATCGCAGGACAGGCATTTTATCACGTAGCCACTTCCATGCAGCTCCACAACGTTCTTGGTGGCAGCCTTGGTGTGAAGACGATCGACATTCTGGGTGACCACCGACTGAATGCGCATTTCGCGCTCGAAGCGCGACAGAGCGAAGTGTGTTGCGTTGGCCGTTTTGCTGGAGAAGCTCGGCCAACCCACAAAATTTCGTGCCCAGTAGCGTTTGCGCACGTTGGAAGACTTAAGGAACTCCATGTGCTGGATGGGCTTGTGATTGGTGCGGGCGTAGAGGCCGACACCCTCGGAACGGTAGTCGGGTATACCTGACGGAAGAATCATGGATTTGTGAGTGTTCTGCGTACATCTAGAGTTGCATATTTCGCATCAACATGCGTAAGTCACCTGATTCAGTTGAGATTCCAGCCCCGGTCAATACCACTATATTTGGTTTCGAAATCAAAAAGTCCTCCAGCCGCTTTATATCATCTTCCACCACCGGTTTATGTTGTGGCACATATTGCTGCTTGATGCACCTTTTTAGAGAAGTGATGCGAAATCGCAGTAGCTTACCAACTCGCATTTTGTTTTGTTTATATGTCCTATTTGGCTAATTTATGCAAATCACATAACACTGAGATATCGATAAATGCACTTCAATTGAAAAGAGGGAGACCTGCAACAAAAAGCTTACGGCGAAAGGCATTTAGTGGGAGTGAGAGATATGGTCTGGTAGTGTATTGTTATCGAATCGAGCAGAATACCAACTCATACTAGAAATACCACTTTTTCTCCGAGCACTAACCGTAGAGTGCATAAATAGCAAATTAAAATATTGTATAAATATTACCATATAAATTAATACAAGTACTTGGCTTATGAAAGGCAGTCCGAGAAAAAATATAAACAAAAACACAGTCTTGGCGGAATTTCCAAAGAGTGGCAACCATGCACTGTCTGTACCTGCTATCGCTATTCGTTTCGTTAGAGGATTGAGAAATTCTGCCATCTCTACAGCAGCGGCCGCAGAGTTGTAAAAAGAAGACAATTAAATATATTTAACGTATAGTTTTTTATGAGTACCCAAAAGTTTGCTCACTCATAAAAACTTTAGTTTAAAGTCAATGGCCGGTTAAACTTGCCATAACTTTCAGTTATACAGTTACACACAGTGCTCCTGTGTGGCGTTTGCGCGCATCGCTGAGGTGTGCTTGTGTGTGGTCGTTTTTAACTGTGTATGTGTGTATTGTGTCGGCTTATATTTGCACGCACGCCAACATTTTGAAAATATATTAAGAAGGTGAAAGCAACGAAAAGTCGACAAAATGTCATATCCACCCCGTGCCCCAATGCCGCCCTACATGAATGCGTCAATTCCTCCGCCACACGTAAGTGAAACCTATAGTCCCATCGACCCTTGTAGCCTGCAGCCAACATAACTGATATGGTTGATTCTCCCTATGTTTGCAGATGATGCAGTCCATGGGCAATCCGCCTCGCAGCTTTCGCAACTCTGCCACAATCAGCTCTCAGCCGACTGTATATCATCGCCCGCCGGAGCCACAGCCTCAGTTCCGTGGACCAATCATTACCGTGTTCGTGGGCAACATAAGCGAACGGGTCCCTGAAGCTCTGCTCAAACGAATCCTCGCCACCTGCGGCATGGTAATCAACTGGAAGCGGGTCTCCACATTTGGATTCTGCGAGTTTGAGTACGTTGTCGCAATGTTTCGACAAACGAGAGGTAGCAGTGAACTGAACGACTGCTCCTCAATGGGAACAGACCCCTTTCAGGTTCACTTCTATCCCATATGTCTGTCATTTTTAATTGGGGAGTGATAGCTGATGGATAAACTTCTAACAACAACTTGCCTTATTTCAGTGGCCCTATTGCCGCAATGCGTGCCGTTCGTTTGCTCAGCGAGATGGAAATTGACGGCAAGAAACTGCTGGCCAAGGTGGATGCGAAAAATAAAGTGCTCATCGAGGACTACAAGGAGAAAGAATGCAAGAACGGGGAGGGAGCGAATGCTTTGGACGAAAAGACTGAGGACGAACGAGCCGTCAACCAGATGCAAGATCTACTCGAAGAGCACAAGCACGAGTTCGAAGGCTTCGATGGCAGCACTCGCGGCGATCTCTATGGCAGCAGCAATCGCAACAAAAAGACGAGACGGGAGGATGACATCAAGATCAAGGTCCTTAACGAAAATGCACTTGAGGAAGAGAAACGCAATCTGATAAGCAGTGAGATAGGCAAGTTTCGCAAACGTGCGGAAGCCGATGAGCATCGCAAGGAGCTGGAGAAGGAGAAGGAAAAGGAGAAGCTGGCCGCCAGCAAAGAGAAGGAGCGCGACAGGGAGCGGAAGAAGCAGCAGCGTGACAGCGAGCGAAAATCTTCCACTAAAAAGGCCAGCGCCACCGAAGCTGACGACGTTGTCGTGATTGTTGAAAAGGAAGTGCCAGCACCTGCCGCGCCTGGACCTGGCTCAGCCCCCTCTACCACTGGCTCTTCTGCTCCTGTGCGCAGTGGCAGCAGTCGCAAGGAGCCCGTGACCATCGATATAACACAGAAGGAGCGACGTCCCGAAGCAAAAGAGAGTCGACGTCGTCGTTCCAAGTCGCGTTCCAAGGATCACGAGCGCGAGCGTGAGAGGGAGCGCGACAGGGAGAGGGAAGTGCGTGAGCTCCGCGACAAGGAGCGTGAACGCGAGCGGGAACGTGAGAGGGAGCGTGTCGAACTCCGGGAGCGGGAAAGAGAGCGCGAGCGCAACGAAATGCGAGAGCGCGAAAGAGAGCGCGAGCGGGACAGAGAGCGCGAGCGCGAGGAGAAGATCCTCAAGCCAGTGCGCGATTTGCGGCGCGAGAAGGAAATGGAGGAGGAGACGCGCGAGCGCAAGAAGGCCGAGAAGAAAGCCCGCGAAAAGGAAATCGCCTACCAGCAGCGCCTCTCCAACTGGGAGATGCGCGAGAAGCGCAAGTCTAAGGAGAATGAGAAGGTAGGGAGAGCATGCCCACACAATCCGCATGTTTTACAATCTTTCATTTGGTCTCATTCTTTCTTTGCACAGTACCGCCTGAAGGAGTTGATGCGCCATGAGGAGCGGGAGAGCGATGCCAAGCGCCTGAAAGAGTTTGTCGAGGATTACGACGATGAACGTGACGACCCGCTGTACTATAAAGGACGAGAGTTACAGCAGCGTCTGGCAGAGCGTGTGCGCGAAGCGGATGCCGATTCTAAGGACCGCGAAAAGGAGGCGGACGAACTGGCCGAGCTGAAGACCAAAATCTTTAGCGGTGAGTTCGAGAATCCTACTCTGGAATTCGAGAAGGCCCGCCGAGAAATCGAGAAACTGTACGAACCGCGCATTCTGGTCACCGTTAACCAAGAGCCGGTGGCCGGCCAGCGCGCTCGCGATCGCCTGACCAAGCAGAACTCAGCTGCGGCCTCGGCCGCGACAGGTGCTGACAGTCAGGTCTCATCCCTGATACCGGCGGAGAAACGCCGCAAAGAGATGATGGACTACGATCCAGACATGGAAAAACACAACGATGATTCCATATCAAATGATGATCATGGTTCCATGGCAGACACTGCCTCCAATGCCAGCGCGTGTGCTAAGAGCAACAGGAAGAAGTCGCCGTCGTGTCAAAACAGCCTGAGCCGGCAGGACAGTGAGTCCAGGGACTCACTGCCGGTGGCCGACATCCACACGCCTTCTCAGAGTGCCATGAATGACCTGGCCCCTAGAAACGATTCGGTCATGGTCCCCTCGGTCACTCCCCCCATTACCATGCCGCTCATCTCGCTCACTCTGGGCAACAACCTCAAGAAGAAGAAGATCGAGGCCACCGGAGTGTTCGTCAACGACGACGATAACGACGAGAACATCAACCCTAAGAAGCGCAAGCTGGTTCCTCTAGGTGAGACAAGACAAAATCGGAATATCACACATGAACCATTGCCCCTAACATTTTATCCCATCCCACACACAGATTACGATGACATGAGCAATGAACACGATCACCAAGCCGGCGGCGTTGGGAACAGCAGCAGTATGACTGCAGCGGAGCGACAGAGCTCTGCCGTGTCCGCGGCTACAGCTGCTGCCGCTGCTGTTAGCCAGAAGATAGCTCTGGCGGGCGGGGGCTCTGGGTCCGGATCGGCCTCGTCCGGAAGTGGGACGGGCGGAAAAAACAACAACAGCGCAAATGCCGGCAACCAATCGGGCGGCAAACATCACACTAGCAAACACGGTAAGAATGATGCAGCTGCATCTGCGACCAACAGCGCAGATGCTGCCGCGACAAACACCAAAAAGGATGAGAATGGTGCAAAGGTGTATGATGAAAAACGGCGCCATATAAAAAGCATTATTGACAGGATACCCACGCAAAAGGAGGAACTATTTAATTATAAACTCGACCGCAACGAGATCGATAGCGGTCTAATGGAACGAAAAATACGTCCATGGATAAATAAGAAAATCATTGAGTATATCGGTGAGCCAGAGCCAACTTTAGTGGACTTTATATGTTCCAAAGTTTTGGCCGGCAGTCAGCCCCAGAGCATCCTGGACGATGTGCAAATGGTAAGCTGTCCTTTAAGACTTTCAGCTTAACTTAATCTGAAATCTAATCCGCTCTTCTTTTCATTTTCTTGTTTGTTTGCTTTACATGTATGCGGTGCTGACTACTGCTGCTGCAGGTACTTGATGAGGAAGCTGAGGTGTTCGTGGTAAAAATGTGGCGACTGCTTATCTACGAACTGGATGCCAAAAAGAGTGGCATTTCGGGCAAGTAGAAGCAGCCCCCACATCGCGCACAGAGTGACGTCTAATGAGAGACGAACGATATACGTAGATAGATCTTAAGTTACACTTACGAAACCTATACAACTACAAAATGTACATACAGGGCATGCTCCGAGGATAGTTGCGGTGGTTTTTCTTTCTAAAGCAATAGCGCATTCTCAACGATTTCTCAATCCACCTTGTAAGCCATGGCGGTAATTGTTACATTTAATCGCCGATAAATGTAAATACACTCTAAACAACAAAAGCAAATCAAAACAAAACAAACACACAAAATCGAAGAAACCCAAGGACAGACACAAAACGGCTAGTTTTCGAAAGTACGAAAACCCTTACAAGGTCGAAAACCAATGACATTTTCAGCCAGCGCTCAGCCGGACGTTCAATTGGTATACCAATGTTTCAATCAATGTTTCGTACACCGCACTGGTCTATATTACACCGCACCTTCATTTTATTTTTAAATCTAAAACTAACATAAACTGTCATGCTGATCGGACTTTTGTTGCTACTCTAAATCTTACAACATTTCCTTAAGTGTCATTGAAGTCAACTTACTCTGCCCTTTTTCATAAAGTACATACTCCGAGAAAGAACATTTTGACTTGAAAGCAAAAAGGAAATGTCATTTAAATAAAGCACGAAAAATGTAAGGAAGAAGCGATAATTATTCATCTATTTTGGGCTTGGAATATGACGGGGCAGAAAAGATTATCATCTAACAAAATGTGTCCTTTGGATCAGATCGGAGTGTTACCATAGCCGGAATGACGAAACCCATTTCCAGTGGCTAAAACCCCTGCCATGCGGTAGCTCTCTCTCTTCTCTCTTCCATCGTCTAGTGACGCCTCTTGGCTGAGCGAGCATTAACGACTAGATGGTATCTGTCGTTAAGAAGGTATAAATATATACATATATATGTATGTATGTATATAGAGAGAGAGAGATAAAGAGCTAGAATATTTTAAAAAATCATAAGATTGCATGGAAATGTCAGGCTGAGTGTGCGAGCGAGATGGTATGAGCAACAAAAATAATTAAAGCTGCCGGAAGGGTGGGGGCTAGCCACTGAAAATTAATTTCCTCATTCTGGCAATAATAACGAGAAGGGACGTGTGAGACGCTTCTTACGCGTCACAAATTTTATACCCGGCACTCAAAAAACATATATAAGCTGCGGGACGGTGTGGGTTAAAAGTCGGCAGAGGCAGAGGGACGGCAGAGGCCAAGTGAACCAGAAGCAGAGTGTGAATGAGAGAATGTGAAAAGAACAACAAAGGCTTCAGGACAGGGTGGGTTTAGCCACTCCAAATTAATTTCTTCATTGTGGCCATAATAATGATCCAATCGGATCCCAATTTGGTGATCTGATAGACATGGCCATTCCCTACGGAATGGCTTTTTTAGTTTTATTTTATCTTCAAAATTGTAGATTTGGGAGGTTTTCGCCCTTTTGCGGGGGCGTGCCTTATTTTTGAAATACACTTGTAACAGTGTGAGCATACAGAAGTCTGGATGCAAAATTTGGTGGCTCTAGCTTTTATGGTCTCTGATATCCAGCGCTCAAAAAGACGGACGGACAGACGGACGGACATACAGAAATGGCTACATCGACTCGGCTATTGATGCTGATCAAAAATGTATGTAATTTATGGGGTCGGACACGTTTTCTTCTGTGCGTTACATAAGTACATATGTATGTATGTGTTAAGGTTTAGGAACGAATCCCTGTTCCAAAGCAAATGTATGATTGTACCCGGTACTCTAAGAGTAATTAGGGTATATTTTATGTATTTACAGGAGATGAAAACATATCATAATTAGCAATGCTCGTCTTTTTATCCGTTTGTGTGTAAGCTTTGCTCACGGTTTTACAGGACATTTTCAGAGTCCTCTATCAAAGAAACAAGCCTCACCTACTTGTATACGTATGTACATACGTAAGACAGATTTCGTAAAAATCAGATCTCAATGTATACTGCAATGTTTAGGATAAGAATGCTTTCAAATCAGACCGTATATATACATACATACATATGTACTTATGTAGCTAACAGCTGATCTAATAACAAATAATTCAAATGTGAATGTTGATTACCTATTCAAAAGAGATTGGATATGTTCCATACTGGCTATACAGACAACAGGCAATATTAAATCAGCGCTATTGCAAGATGTGCACTTTGTAAGTATGTATCTATGAATGAACATGCATGGATAAGAGAAAGAGGAAACGTGTCAAAATTGTGCGTTTGATTCGAATAGGTTGTCGCCGTTGTAATATTAATCCAGATGCTGTGATTTCTTGCGATTGCTTGTAGTGCCATCTAATAATAATGAGTGTTCCCTGCTAAACAGCTCATTGGTAAACAACATTTTCATTTCAGTTGATAAAGAAACTTAAATTGGGACTGTACTGTTTGAAGTTATTATATCATACGATTCTGTTTTGAATTGTTTAGAGACGAATCCTATCGAATGCATTATATCGACCGAGCATTGACTTGATAGGGGAAATAAGCTGAAGGGTTGGGTTGGGTTGACTTTATGCTAATGATATTGAAACGATTAAGAAAATACAAGCTAAACATTTGACAAAGCACACATAAAATCTGGCTGAAAACACGGACATCAACAATAACACGTCGATGTAGGCTCTTCCAGATCTTGATTGCTTCCAATGTTTATGCTATTGGATCCATTTCCATTGCCAAAATCAGAGGATACAATCTGCAAGGGAACAATTTATATTATTTCTGCAGACACATACATATGTACATCAGTATACCTTCTCAACAATATCCTTGAACACATCACTAACGAACTGGTCGCATTTGGCGGACGTCTCTATAAAGAGCGCACGATGCTTTCGGGCAAACTTGCGCCCCTCCTCGCGATCCACAACACGCTCCTGGTCGATCTTGTTGCCCACGACTATTATGGCTATGTTGGGATTATCGCTGTAGCTGTCCAACTCGGCAAGCCAGGCCTCGAGTTTGACCAGGGAGTCGCGGTTCGTGATATCGTAGACCAGGATGGCGCCCAGGGCCTTTCGATAGAAACTCGGTGTTAGACTGCGAAACCTTTCGGCTCCCGCAGTGTCCCAGAGTGCTACTTTAAAGTCAGCGCCGTCAATATTCATCACCTTGCTTTTAAAGTCCATGCCAATTGTGACGTCATGATTCTCGTCGAATTTGTTCTCGACAAAGCGCCGTATTAAGCTGTTGTCAGAATATGATGCAAATAGTTCCAATCATTTATACACATGTACATCATTTGAACATATGTATGCTTGAATGTACATATGATATGGTGTGCGTATATAGAAAATACGCAGCAGGTTTGAGACATAGAAATAAAACATATACAATTTACCTGGATTTACCCACACCGCTTTCTCCGATGACTAACAGCTTGATAGCCCTATCAGTCATTTTTATCAATTAATATTTGTCTTGTTTACCTTTAGAAAACACATTGGCTCCTATGTATTTGTTAAACAGAACCGATTATTCAGTAAGTCTCTGGCAAAGCAAGGTTCCGTGGGTTGTTTACATGGCTGGACCAGTGTGACCGCGAAATTATGGATCAAATATACCGTCAGAGCCTCGAAAATATACCGAAATATTCTTCATAATTTTTTAATAGCAGTAGCTATTGCATTCATTCGGATCTTCTGACTTTCGCAGCTAAACTTTTTTCCTCGACAAACGAATCAATCTAAAGATGAAAGACGGTTATATTAACATAGCGAACAAGAAGGTAATAAAAAACGAGGAGGGACGTGTGAGACGCTTCTTACGATACACAACTTTTACACCCGGTACTCAGTAGAACATCTGCATCTTAGTGATTTTTTCAAATTTTACATGTTACATATTTTTTACATGTGTCATCTACATCTACATCACTTTTCATGCCAACACGCTCTTTTAACTCACCATCCTCCTACATCCACTTTGTGTACAAATGTAAAATACCCTATTTAATCTTTGAGTACTGGGTTTGAAACATTTTTAAAATATTTTCTGCATAGATAACTTCTTGTGTCTGGTAAAGCCTACCACTACGTTATTTATTTTTTTGGAAATGTAATTCAACTATATATATATTTTTTTGTTTGTTATTTACTTGTTTAAGCGAAATTGGTTGGTCGCAGACGATGAGTCCACATTGACCAGGTACATCAGTGTATGTTGAATATTAGAAAAAAGTCAATGAAAATTTTGAACTCAAAAAAGAGTTGTTTGCCGAACGAACACCAGAAATAGAAAATGTGAGGAAACTAAAACCTTCTCAAATATACCAATATTTAGATATATATATTTCTTATACCAAACAATTGTCGAAATATACCGTACATATAGCGTACATATACCGTCGACTAAAAGTCGACTTAAAAATATACCAAAGAGTATAAAATATACTGTAAACGGTCACGTTGGGCTCGACGCTACAATGAGTTCGATACGTTAAAACTGCAACTCAGAATGAACCGATTCTTTACATCGACTTTCTGTCTGTCGAAGAAAATGTATATTATTATATCAGGGATTTAGTCAAAATGTTTGTAAATAATCGAAAACAAAATGTGTAAGTATATGCAAGTTAGTTTCAGCATTCCCATACAAATAGAACCAAATGAACCAAACGACAATGGTTCGATGACATGGATTTTGAACCAGCGCGCTGGTTCATCGCAAATCTCCGAAATCGTTTTGACGTCTACTAGTTATCGTGCCTTCTTTCTTTTTTGACGTGACTAGCGAGGATAATGGTTGGTGCCGAATTTTTAGCGTGAAAACTAATCTATGAAAAGAACAGACATCACCATATAATATATATAAAAAATTGATGAAACACAAAGCCACCCATTCGTATTTCGTGTTGATAATAATATTTTGTTGTGTGCTTGTATGAATAACTAATAACTCGACGAATTTTCGACCCATTCAGGTTAAGGTCAAGTGCTCCGAGCTGAGAACCAAGGACAAGAAGGAGCTCACCAAGCAATTGGATGAGCTCAAGAATGAGCTTCTCAATCTGCGTGTGGCTAAGGTCACTGGAGGTGCACCATCCAAGCTCTCCAAGATGTAAGTAGTGTTTAGACCAAAACCCTTTCCCCTGGCCGACCTCAAGATTGACCACCGAATTGTTTGTTTGCAATTGCAGCCGTGTGGTGCGCAAGGCCATCGCTCGCGTCTACATTGTGATGCATCAGAAGCAGAAGGAGAACCTGCGCAAGGTCTTCAAGAACAAGAAGTACAAGCCCCTGGATCTGCGCCGCAAGAAGACCCGCGCCATCCGCAAAGCTCTGTCGCCCCGCGATGCTAACCGCAAGACGCTGAAAGAAATTCGCAAGCGTTCCATCTTCCCACAGCGCAAATATGCCGTCAAGGCATAAAACTGCAAAACAATTATGTTGCGCATCTTGAGGACATTAAGAGTTATCCAGCAAAATAGGAGGAAAAGAAAAATAAACAATTTTTTTTAATGTGATTTAACAACTTTTTTTTCTCGCCATGCCCGCTCCGGGCCACGCTCCGTCTACAATTGAAGTGTGAATACGCGTGTGCCTCATTTTATGAATTTGTGATTTTGGTTTTTGTTGGCTTCCCCGACGGCGTCAAATCGCTCAACCAACTGTCGTTAATTCTTTATTAGTAGCGCGTAAAATTATTCGAAGTAACTAGCTATGCTTGGGTGTGTACCCTAACCAAAAGCAGTCCTTTATAGGGGCCTAGTCCTTCGCCACTAAACTTCAAGCATCCGCAAATTCAGATTAATCAGACATGACAAACATGGATTTCTCAATTGATCTAAAGTTATATTTATTTCGGTAACTTCCGACTTACATATGCGTTTGAATACACGTCTATGTCCACATATAAATTAGAAAGTAGTTGGTAGGTAATTGATATGGTTAACAGCTCTTATACAAAGGAAAATGTCCGACATCTACTCATACTGAATATGTTTGGCACATTTGGTTGGTACTATTCTTTTGAACAGCGTGAAATAGAGGAGTGCTGCGGATGACTCCCGAAAGTTCCTTTGAGTTTTTGCTTTGGTGATAGTTCCTACTTGGCATCGGCGACAGGGGCTCGCCCCAAAACTTTAGAAGCGAAAATATCTTGTAGTAGGCCACTCTGCAAGAGAAATGAAATATATGATTGGATGCGGACGAGTATGGTGGGTGGGTGAAATGTTTCCCAAGGCACTTGCCTGTAGTTGCGATTGCTAGCCGCGTAAATAATCGGATTGATGACGCTGGAGGCCCAGGCCATGACTGAGGCTATTATGTGCAACCAAGGATAGGAGGTTTTCCGCTCATCGTCCACCACATTGGCCAGCATCAGTGGCAGAAAGCAGATGAGAAAGCATAAGAAGATGGTCACCATCATTACGGTGAGCCGATTGTCCTCGCGCACCTTTCTCGTGCACGTTGTGGTCACGTACGAGCCCCCAGATGTGACCTTGCCCGCTGCATTGGCGCCAATTTGGAAGTTGTGGCTTTGGATTTTCCGCTTTTGGTGCAGCACAGTAATGTAAATGCAGGAGTAGGAGACTATAATGACCAGGCACGGAAGAAGGAAACCAATAAGAAAGAGCGTCTTCTTGATGGACTTTCCCTCCTTCTTGAGTATTGTGCAGGAGAAGGTCGCCTCATCCAGTCCCATTTCTCCCCAGATCCCCAGAATGGGTGGCAGCTGTAATAAGTACAGTAAATATATTAAATTAGACATTTTCTAGAATTAATAGCATACTAGTACTTATTTGACTCACCAGCAGCAAAAAGGAGACTGCCCACACAAAGACCAGCTGCAGCGTTATGAGCCTAGGCTTGTAGATCTGTGAGTATCGGCTATGGCAAGCGATGAGTATGTACCTGGAAGAGGGTTACACGATTACACCAGGCTGTGGAGTAGACGGGCCCTGCTGCCAACACCTACCTATTGAGGGTGATTCCCACCATGCTGAGAAGGGAGACGGCTACATTGCCGTAGAAGATTACAGGGAATATCTTGCACAAGGTGCTGCCGAAGGTCCAGCTCTGTGGCGGAAACGATTACTGGTTATGCTCAGTTAAAATATCGAATGTCTAATGTGTATGCGTGGTCGGACTCACCTCCTTAAAGAAGCGAACTGCTGTCAGGGGCATGCTGAAGGAGCAGAATAGAAGGTCTGATATACTCAGCGATATGACAAAAGCCGTCGTCGCATGCTCCCGTATCGTTGGACTTTTGAGTAGAGCCAGCAAAGTGATTAGGTTTCCTGGGGACAAAGTAGTCGAGCAGGTTAGCAGACGGCATATGAAGTAAGTTCATTCACTTACCTAGCACGCCAATGGTCGTAAAGACGCAGGCACTGATGGCGGCAAACATTGTTGCCGAATGTGGATAGATCGACTGGGATGCGGGAGCATTCACGTCCATGTCCATGCTTATGTCAATGCTGGAATATAGATAGAGTTAACATTAAAAGTTGTCAATCCGATAGAAGAAGGTATTTAAATAAAAATGTGGTCAACAATTGAACAAAAGATTAGTTAAATATGTAAGTTAAACCAATTATTGGATTGGATAACCAAACAAATTCAACTCTACCCGTAATTAAGTGAGTAGAAGCCAAATAGACAAAGTAGCCAAAATTCTGAGGATGCCTGTACATACATCTATGTATGTGTATGTGATTCATATGTACATATTTAACCTCCTGAAGGAATCTGACTTTGCTGAAACGTTTGGCTTAAGTTTAAAACACTTAATGTGGGGATGTAGCTGGATAACATCCAGTTTGTTAGTTTGTGGAGGTGAGAATTTTGGACATAGAACGTGTGTTTGGACGTGTGAGACGCTTCTTACGCGTCACACTTTTATAACCTCGATATTATATTTTTTCGACTTTTCCCGAGATTTTTTAGTCAAAATCTTGTTAAAAATACGTCACAAAAACAAACATTTGCATTTCAATTTTTCATTTCATTTTTTTCTTCATCTGTCATCGACATCAACAACACTTCTCACACCAACACGCTCTGTTAGCTCGTCACCTTTCCCTAGCCCCACACACTGCAGACTCGCGGCAGAGGCAGAGGCAGCGCCCGCACACAAAAAAAAACAAATATAAGCTGCGGGACAGTGGCAGAGTGACGGCAGAGGCAGAGTGAAGCAGAAGCAGAGTGTGAATGAGAGAATGTGAAAAAAAAAACAACAAAAGCTGCGGGACAGGGTGGATTTAGCCACTCCAAATTAATTTCTTCATTTTGGCTATAATAATGATCCCATTTGGTGATCTTATAAATATGGCCATTCCCTACGGAATGGAATTTTCTTTTATCTTCAAAATTGTAGGTTTGGGAGGTTTTCGCGCTTTTGCGGGGGCGGAAGGGGCGGGGCTCCTTTAGGAAATACACTGGTTTCAGTGTGAGCATACAGCAGCCTGTAGCCAAAATTTGGGGGCTCTATCTTTTATAGTCTCTGAGAACTAGCCTACAAACAAGACGGACAGACAGAAATGGCTCTATCGACTTGTCTATTGATGCTGATCAAGAATATATATACTTTATGGGGTCGCAAACGCTTCCTTCTGTGCGTTACATACAACCGTTATTCGCACAAATACAATATACCCTATTTACTCTTTGAGTATCGGGTATAACTGCAAAGCTTTAGCTTACCGTCTCGGAAATTTGAAAACTATGATTTTGGTGTGGTATTTTACAAATCATTTTGGCTTTAAAACTTCAAGAAAAGTCGAAAAAAAATGATAGCATGAGTTCTTTATTTTTATGAGTATAGGTGCATTTATTTAGCGTCGTTTAAGGTATTGCTCATCAAAATCTATGGAGAGTCGGCCTTATGGGAAATGCCTGCACTCAGATCCAAAGAAATACATACATATATATGTCAAGTTGGATTTCCATTTGAGCTGGCTACAATTTAGAAGCGGATAGTGTCATACATTTTACCTCATACAACGCTTTTTTCTTGATCCCCAATGAACACCAACGAAATAGACTAATATTTAAACTCTCCCCTTGTAAACACGGTACCAAAGTCTAGGCTCAATCATATTGAATTCAAATCAAAATGTAGATTAGATTCAGAATTCTCAAGTAATGCACATTAAAGTGGTCTCTTCTTCTACACATAATAAATAAATATGTGCATACATATTTACATATACTAATGCGAATAATTGGCTAAAAATCAAATCCAAAACTGTTTGACTTTTATTAATTTGGAATTTTGAATGGATACGAAACTGAGATTGATATTTGTGGACTAAAAACTGATTACGAGAAGCGGGCTTTTTATACACGGTACTCGAAGAGTAAATAGGGTAAAGTGTATATGTGGGGAATAGTGGATGTACATATGTAACCCACAGAAGAAAACGTGTCCGATCTCATAAAGTAAATATATTCTTGATCAGCGTCAATAGCCGAGTCTATATATGTCTGTCTGTCCGTATGTCCATCTGTCCGTCTGTCCGTCTTGTTTGTCGGCTAGTTCTTAGAGACTAGAAGAGCTAGAGCCACCAAATTTTGCCTCCAGACTGCTGTATGCTCACACTGGAACCAGTGTAATTAAAAAATTAGCCCCGCCCCCACAAGGCCGAAAATCTCCCAAAGCCACAATTTTTAAGAAAAAAGAAAAGTAAAAGCACCATTCTGTAGGGAATAACTATAGATCATTGACTTGGGATCCGATTGAATCATTATGATAGTCGGAATGAAGATATTAATTTGCAGTGCCTAAAACCACCCCGTACCGCAGCTTTTTCTTTTTTAGCACACACGTGTAGTGTGTGGCTCTAGGGGAGGGGGCGAGATAAAAGGGTAAAAGCAAAAAGGCTTTAGCTAAAGTACTAAGTACCGGGTATAAAAGTTGTGACGCGTAAGAAGCGTCGCACACGTCCCTTCTCGTTACTTATGTATAGTTGAGACTTCGTAGTGGATATTATTTTAATTAAATTGGGCACTCGTTTTATGAGCCTGCATGCATACGTACAGTAGGCACACACTTAAATCGGACGATCTTATCACCCGAGTTTGAATACCCACATATGTATATCTTGGCTTTCGGTCAACGGAAACAGAAAAAGTTAATTTTATATCTAAGATCAACATATCTAATATATGTTTATAATAAAAGTTTTTATTTTCTTCTATGCTTTCCCTATAAAAATGTACTAATGGAAAATGTGATTTTTTCCTACTTATATTACACTACTCGACAAAATCTGATTTTTTTTTTCGCTTCGAACAAACCCGATTTTTTCTGATAGACAGGGCTGTAAAATCTTTAAAATAATAATGTTTTTTCTATGGCAGAACTTTTTTTTGTTGCACGATTTTTAAATTCTAGGCTTTTTTGTAGGTTTTTAGAGGTAGCGCTTCTTAGTTTGAACTTTGCCATTCTATAAAGCTGATCAATGCATCTATAATGTATAGATTGAAAATATTAAGCTTTAAAATGCAAAAATGTTGATTTCTCTGAGGTTCTTTTTACGAAATTTGGATTTAAAAGCTCAGGAAAAGTCGGAAAAAAGGAAAAGTTGCCAGCTAGTTCTTGGTTGGAACAAGTTTGACTTTGAATTATGAGCAAATTAGAAATGCAGACACAGGTGAAACCCTGTGTTCTCCCGATAGTATGTATGCATTTATGAATATTTGAAAGGTTCTGTCGAAACACCGTAAACTGAACAAAAAGCTAAATGTGTGCCCTTGTTCTTTGACACTTAACAATGCACAATCACGTGTTCTTCCATATTTCAATAGTCGCTGTAGGGATTTGTAATGGTTGTCTTTGCGGAGCGGCAAGGAGTTTTCAGCTGCAATTTTAATGTATTTTTTACGACTTATTCAATTTTTAATTATACCAGGTACTCGAAGAGTAAATAGGGTATATTGTATTTGTACACAAAGAGAATGTATGTAAGACACAGAAGGAAACGTTTCCGACCCCATAAAGTGTCTATATTCTTGATCAGCATCAATAACCGAGTCGATTGAGCCATGTCTTTCTATCCGTCCGTCTGTCCGTCTGTCTTGCTGAGCGCCTGGATCTCAGAGACCGTAAAAGCTAGAGATACCAAATTTTGCATCCAGACTTCTGTATGCTCACACTGTTACAATCGTATTTCAAAAGGGCGAGAACCTCTCAAATCTAAAATTTTGAAGATAGAAGAAAACTCCATTTCGTAGCGAATGGCAATATCTATCAGATCACCAAATTGGGATCCGATTGGATCATTATTATAGCCAGAATGAAGAAATTAATTTGCAGTGGCTAAACCCACCCTGTCCCGCAGCTTTTGTTGTTTTTTTCACATTCTCTCATTCACACTCTGCTTCACTCGGCCCCTGCCTCTGCCGTCCCTCTGCCTCTGTCCCTCTATAAGCTGTCCCGCAGCTTATATTTGTGAGGCACTGCCTCTGCCTCTGCCTCTGCCGCGAGTCTGCAGTGTGTGGTCCTGGGGAAGGGCGGCGAGCTAAAGGAGCGTGTTGGTGTGAGAAGTGTTGTAGATGTAGATGACAGATGAAGAAAGAATTTAAAATTTGACGGATAACCGTTAAGGTGCAGATGTAGTACTGAGTGCCGGGTATAAAAGTTGTGACGCGTAAGAAGCGTCTCACACGTCCCTTCTCGTTTTCTTTTCTTTTCAAGATGATAAGTGGCGCAGAATGCGCCCGCACTGGAAACGGTCTTGGGCTACCCTTCTCTGCCCCCGTGAAAACTCAGACCCGGCGAACACCATTTCAATAGAAGGGCTTGCACGAACTTTACGACAAAATATGTATGTACATATGCACACATGTGTGTACGGATGTATGTAAATATGTACATTTCTAAATATCCCAAACCAACGGAAGACAAGCAGATACGTACATACATACATATGTATGTATGTATGTACATATTCTGAATCAATGGAAATCTCAATTATACTGGGGTTTTTGTACGTATCCCCGGGAGCTTTTCTGCTTCGCCTGCATAAATTCAACGAGAGGCAAAAACGACAAAAACGAGAGGCACACACACAATTTAATTTATTTTGTGTGTTGTTTGGATCGTTTAAATTAAAATGCGCCTTTTTACGCTTTTAAATATGTATGTTTCCGGTGCATGGAATAAATGCTCTCCGAAGAACTGGCGCTGCAGCATTAGCAGCACCGCCACCAGAAAGGCAGCTGGGGCGAGGGTTAAACGAAGCGGTTGGTTGCGTTCATGCATGATCAACATGTGTGTTTGTTTTCAGTTATCTTCATTTTCGGACAGGGGTCCCCGCATATGGAAATCTGTACATGCAACCCTATAAAGCCCCCCCCCCCCCCCCCCCCCCCCCCCCCCCAACCCCCCACCAAGGAGCACAATAATAAGGACAATAATCCGCCCCCCCCCAACGAACGCACAAAAAACCACCCCACACACCCGCCCCCC